AAAAGAAATACAAAAGGAAGATCTTAAGGCTGAAAGCAAGTTACCCCAGATGCTAACTAAAATCTTAGTAAAAAACAAAGAACACCAGGAAAGATAATATGTAATTATAAAAGACAGTATACTTTTCTGTGTAAGTATAAAAGGAATTTTTCTCCTTTCTTCTCTTATCTGGTTTAAAAAGCAACTTTTGTAAAATAATATGTACCTAATGTTAGGCCTATAACATACAGAAATGTAACATAATTGTAATATTTTCCCAATAACAGAACAAAGGAGATTGGTAGGAGCAAAACAGTACTGGTTTAAGGAAATGATTACAGAGGGTAAAGTAATAATTATAACAATGCATTATTGGGTTTGTAACATTAATAGATGTAATGTGTATAACAATAATGCCACAAAAGCAGGGGAAGGAATGGGAGTAACATTTTTACATATCACTGGAATTAAGCTAGTAAAAAAACTTTAGGGTTCGCTCTTGGTGTTGTACATTCTGTGGGTTTTGACAAGTGTACAGTGACATATACCCACTATTATAGTATCATACAAATGAGTTTCACTGCTCTGAAAATCCTCTGTGCTCCATCTTTTCATCCCATCCTCCCCCCAACCCTTGGCAACCACTGACCCTTTTACTATCCCAAGAGTTTGCCTTTTTCAGAATGTCATATAGATGAAATCATAAAATGTGCAGCCTTTCCATATTGGCTCCTTTCACTTACTAGCATGCATTTAAGATTGCCTCATGTCTTTTCATGGCTTGATAGCTCATTTCTTTTTAGCACTGAATAATATTCCATTGTTTTGATGTGCCTCAGGTTTTTTATCCATTTACCCACTGAAGGACATCCTTGTTGCTTCCAAGTTTTGGCAATTATGAATAAAACTGCTATAAGCATTTATGTACAGGTTATTGTGTGGACATAAGTTTTCAACTCATTTGGGTGAATACCAAAAAGCATGATTGGTTGGTTGTATGGAAAAAGTATGTTTAGTTTCGTTAGAAACTGCCAAAATGCCTTCCAAAGTGGCTGTTGCACCATTTTGCATTCTGGCCATCAGTGGATGAGAGATCCTATTGCTCCATATCCTTGTCAGTATCCATATCCAAAATGTGGACTAGCCACACAATAGAATAATATTTGGCAATAAAAGGGAATGAAGCACTGATATAAACTATAACATGGATGAACTTAGGAAATATTATGCTCAGTGAAAGAAGCCAGTCACAAGAGACCACATTTTATGTGTCCAGAACAGAGAAAACTATAGAGGCAGAAGGTAGATTAATGTTTGCTTAAGGCTGGGGAGATAAGGGCATAGGAGGGTCATAACTAAGTATGTGGCATTTCTTTTTGACTTGATGAAAATGTACTAAAATTGATTGTGGTGATGGTTGCACATATCTGTGAATATGCTAAAAACCATCAAAATGTATACTTTAAGTGGGTAAACTGGCATGCAAATTATATCTCAATAAAGCTATTATAAAAAAGAAGGAACATCTATTCTGGCATGGATTAGTAGGAGTTATCCAGGCTAAGGGTATAAGTGATAATTGAGAGAGTATTTCAGGCAGGGAGAACTATGGGAACCAAGACCAGGACTTGAAAGGGCATGGAGCTTTGAGATGATAGGAATTCACTTAGTACAACAGTATTGTTGTTACTATTTATTAAGTATTAACTGTTTCAGAGCAGTGATTGGGAGCAAGGACTTGGACCTTAGACAGGTGTTCCATTTAATAGCTAGGTGACTTTTCTTTTCTCATTTTCCTACAAAATAACAAGTAAATGATATAATATCTGGAAAAGGACTCAGAGTTCACATAAGGGAAGAAAGACTCTGTGTAAGTCCAAGAACTATTTTTGACAGTTACAATGCAAGAATAATAGAATTATTCATTGGGAAAATTTTTTAAAAAATAATTATTATTTCTTAACCACATGACAGGAGGCCTGGTAAGATACCAAAATGTCACTTAAAGAGAAATGATCCCTCCCTTTAGCAAACTAAAGGGCTTCATCTTGATATTTGTGGATATATGTATGTGTATGTGTGTATATATTATACTGTGCCTCCTGTCCTTTCATTTTTCTTTTAACAATGCATGATGAACATGTAGTACATATGGAATCTACCTCATTCCTTTATTTTATTTTATTTTTTTTTTTGAGACAGAGTCTCACTCTTTTTGCCTGGGCTAGAGTGCCGTGGCGTCAGCCTAGCTCACAGCAACCTCAAACTCCTGGGCTCAAGGGATCCTCCTGCCTCAGCCTCCAGAGTAGCTGGGACTACAGGCATGCGCCACCATGCCCGGCTAATTTTTTATATATATTTTTAGTTGTCTGATTAATTTCTTTCTATTTTTAGTAGAGACAGGGTCTCGCTCTTGCTCAGGCTGGTCTCGAACTCCTGAGCTCAAACAATCCACCCGCCTCAGCCTCCCAGAGTGCTAGGATTACAGGCGTGAGCCACCGCGCCCGGCCTACCTCATTCCTTTAAATAGCTACTTTACCCACACTATACTGAAAATACGGAGGAGGATGTGGACAAAATATTGAATAGACATGTCTTAAAGTAACGTATACAAATGGCCAATAAGCACATGAAAAGATGCTCTGTACCCAACTATAAGACATGGCCCAAGTGGCACTGCATAGTGTCTATTTAAATTGAAGAAATGGACAATCTCCCCATTTCTACAGAGGTCAGTCTGGGAACTCAGCCCACTTGGGGAGCCAAAGAAATGTGTTGGGCTTCACTACTTGAGAATTATAGCATGTCACAGTGGTAGGGGCCTGAAAGGTGCAATGCACTGCAGAAGGGGCCATAATGCCCAGTATACATCACAGTATCAGGAGTGGGGATGAGAGGCTGGGCAGGCACAGCAGGAGAAGAACATAAAAGTGGCACCCACCTCATAGCTGCCTGGGTTTGTTTTTAAGTACAGATGAGAACTACTTCTCAACCCTCCCAAGTAGCTGAAACGAATCTCTTAGGGAGCTGGCATCCTGCACGGGCACATGAAGACAACACTCCGTAAAACACAGCTCAAGGTCATTACTTTATTTGGCCCTCACAAGATATTTGTGAGATTATTATCTTTATTTTACAGACTAGAAAAGATATAAAATTTTTCTTCTAGCTAAGTGGTCAAGTGGTACTTTGAAGTTCACATTTGCTTCTAAAATCTGTCAACAAATATTAAGTGCCCCAGTACGTTTAGAAATAAACTGAGAAGTGCTGTTGGTTGCTCCTTTTTTGTTATAAAACTTTTATTATTGTTAGCAATGATAATGTGTGCTCATTTTAAAGATGTGGAAAATACAAATAAGCAAAAGAATAAAAATCATTCATAATCCCACCACCAAGACTGTACTTTTTATCTTTCATCCTAAACAAGGTTTTAAGTGCATATATGTAATATACAAATGTACTTTTACCTTTCAAAAATATGATATTCACATATTACTTAGTAACCTTTTTTCATTTTATATCCTATCAGGAACCTCTTTTTTACAAATGAGTAAAGCTCTTTTATTAAAAGACAGAGTCTTGTAGATTGGTTCAAAATACAATAAACAATGAGATGCAGATAACAAGAGATACATCTAAAACCACTAACAGCAACAGGTTAAAAGTAGAAAGATGGACAAAAGCATATCAGGAAAATGCTAACAAAAAGAAACCTATATGGTATTGTTAATATCAAATAAAGATCAAGGTAAACTACATTAAATAGGGGTAAGGATGGTTTCGATTAACCTTCCAACGCATCACTATAAGTTTGTTTCTTACTCTCCTTATCTCATCTACTTCATCCACTTCTTTAAACATATCTTCATTGCTTAAATGCCTGTTGTGTATATCTTCTTTAAATTCCTGGAGAGATTGAATCAGCCTTTCTCTAAAAGTTCCTTCTGCTTTTTCTTCCTCCTCTGGCTCTTCCTCCTCCTCTGGCTTTTCCTCAGGCTTTGGCTCTTCCTCGAGCTTTGGTTCACTCTCATTTTCTGGTTTTCCTTCAATTTTTTGACAGGGTTTCATCTTGTGTCTGTCTGCCTCTCTTCCTTCCTTCTCTCCTTTTCTTTTTTTCTGCTATTCCCCTTTGAATGTAGTTACTTCTAGGAAGCAAGAAGGAGACAGCAAGTCAAAGATTTGGTGAGTGGACAGGTGCTCTAGACAGAGGTACCAGCATTTCCTTTTCTTGATTCAGAGCTGTCATCGAATATCTACCACCTAAGAAGCCCAGTCAGCAATCAGGGCTATCCTGACCCCGCCCCTCTTACCGCCACTTTTCCACCTCCTCACCTCTCTCTTGTCGCTCTTTCCAGCCTTTTCCAAGGCCCTCCTTCCCGCCTCCCTGCCCTCCCCAACTGTTTCTCCCCCGCGGGGCCTAACACAGGGACTTCCCCAGAACAGAGAAGGGTGGCTGGAAGGGTGGGGAGGAGCGAGAGGGGAAAGGGGAAAGGGAGGAAGAGTAGGAAAAAAGGGAGGAAGAGGAGGGGGCGGGAACAGTGGGGCCCACAACCTTTCTCCCGCCCTCACCCGAGGAGTTTTTATAATGTTCCTCTCACCTACCTGGTACGGATCGGGTCAGTTTCTTCCTCTTTTTTTTTTCTAGCCTTGGGTCGCGCTAAGAACACAAAGCTGCAGACAGACGGGAAACGGGAGGGGACGGTGGGGGTGGGGCGAGCGTTTGGTTTGCTGACCAGCACCAGAGACCCAGGGTCTCGGTCATGGAAAGTTTCCCACCTTTTGTTTCCCCCAGTTCTCCCCTTCTCCACAGTGCGAGTAAGCTCGTCTTTCTTCTCTGACAGGGAGTGGGGAAAGCAGATTACTTCCGAACTATCTCTAACATCGAGGCGCGGTTTGGGGGACGGTGGGTGTCTGGAAAGCGGTCTTAGATGGCAGAGGATGATTACTTTTAAACTATGACAGAGGTCTTCCTGTCCTTCTCCCAGGACCCCTAGTCCCTTTCCCAAGGGCCATACATTTCCTGCGGACCTGGAGGAGAGAGGGGAGGAGAGTCGGACTTGCCTGGCACTCCCTAAAGTCTTCGCCCTAAGCTACTGCGCACTGGCAACCTCCAGGCAACACCCATACTGACACCGACCTGCAAAATTTCCGCAAGTTGACTCCTTCTCCTTCCACTCTTCTCCGGGGCGGCCGCCTGCACTGCTAAAGGAAGCTGGTACCCAGACGGGAACAAGGACTAGACTAGCAGGACTTCTGCACACGTCGACTCCTGGTCACATGAGATCTACGTCACCAGTGAGCTCCGGTCCCTAATTTCCACTCCCACCAAAAGCGCGGCAGAAGTGAGCCCGCCCCCTACTCCCTCCCGGTTCCCCACTCCTTATACATATATGGCCCTGTCAATCTTTTCTATTGTTGCCTATCCCACAGGGAAAAATGTTATTTGCAATTCTCTGATTACTAGGGAGGGGCTGCCTCTTTTTCTGGAGCTACTGAACTTTTCTACTCCTTCTGTCAAGAATTGTCTCTTCCAGTCTTCCGCTCCCAGGGTAACTACCTCCTCCATCCTTCGTCCCTCCCCCAGCCTCCATTTCATCTGCAATCTGGTCCTTAGCTGTTGAGGAGCAGGGTGGGCGGGGTAGCGGTTGTAAAAAACAAAAACAAAAACAAAACAAAACAGGAGCCTGGAACATGAGTGATATTTTTGAAAGCAATTTTTACTTTACTCTTAATACTTCTATGTTTTTGTTTGTTTTATTTAAAAGTAAGTTCTATCTTTTTATAGTGAGAAAAGACAAAGACAAATTTACTTTAGTTACATGAATTAATACATGTACAGTGATTAGAATAATGCCTGGTATATAGTAAGTGCTTTAAATGTGCAAGCTATGGTTATAATTAGATTAGTATTTTATTTGGGGAAAATGATTCAAAAATGAAGAAAAGTAATGTTTGACTCCTGAGCCCTGGTGGTTGTGTTGCCAGGAAGCTGTGCTGCCTGAAGAATCATCACTTGATCAATTGTCAGGTGTACATTGTGAGCCCAAGTTTCTTCATCTGAAAGAAAGGAATAATAACATACAACTCATAGAATTGATTGTCGGGAAGTCTAAATGATAACACCGGTGTAAAGCATTTGACTCACAGAAAGTCTTCAACAGATATTGGTTACCTTTCAACCTCAACTCAGTCTTTGGTAGAAGTCACAAATTTGCCATAAAAACTGCTTAGCTCTTAGAGCTAATAGTTGAAAAATAACAGGAGGAGATATAAATATGTATTTTTGTTGTATAGAAGCTTTGGTGCCCCTTCGTGAAGGAGAATAAAGAGCCCAAAGAATCATATGGAAGGAAAAAAAGAACCTTACCACATATTAATTTATTTCACTTGCTTTTCTATTACATTATTATATCTTCTGGGAATCATATGTATTTGAGCCCTAGAATACCCAGCTATAGTGGTTGGGGTGTGCTGGACAGAACACTGGTGTGAGAGACAGGAGCTGTTAGTCCCAGTGCCAGACTTAGAACTGACTGCGTGACCCTCAGTAAGTTGCTCTCCCTGTACTGGCCTTATGTCTAAAACAGGAGAGCACAGGCAAGCTCTCAGAACTTTAGAAAGAAGCATGAGATTAGTAAAACATGTGACTATATTGTCCCCAGGGAAGATTAAAACATCTTGAATGTCAGCTGCTATTATCTAGCTTGACAGCAATGGTTCCAGAAATCATTAGAATGTCCTGAAAGGGGAAAGGTGCTTTGCTGCCATTATCTCCTTTTATACTCCCAACAACTCTGCAAAGGAAATATTTTCATTTCCATGTTATATATGAAGAAACTAAGAGAATTTAGGTCATGTGCCCCAAAACATTACCTCCTTAGACCCAAGCAGCAAAGGCCTTTGCCTGAGGCCCCACTTTTTGAGGGTAGCCTCTGGCTCTCCTACATGTTCTCTTCCCCATGTAGTGAAGAGATAATGGGGCAAGATATACCTAGTTGTAGCTTTCACTCTAGACCATACTCTAAATCCTAGGATCTTAGAATATCCTGCCCAAAGGACCCATAGCCCAAGTCCAGGGCCTGCATATTCCTCCTCTCCAGATCTGCTGTCCTGAGAATGGGCCACATCCCACTCCTAGGCCAAGAGCTAGGGGTGGAACAGATAATATATATATAGCTAGGAAGGCAGAGCCTCCTTCACATGAGACCATTTGGAGAAAGAGTAAAGGGACGGGGGACTTGTCAGGCCTTGGCCTGGGTTAAAAGCCCTTGACCTGGGTCTCAGGGGATGGTCAGGATCTAGACGGAGGGAGGGAAGAAAGGAGAAGACTAGTATGATTGAACCCAGGTCCTGTGCCCTTACCGTTAGTTGCCCTGCTCTGTCTCTCATGCTTCCTTGCTGGGCAGAAGTTCATTTGCTCCTCCTTAGGGATGCTTAAGTCTCTTTACAGTAGTTATAATCTGAAAGCTAGTTCAGTGTAATCACATCGTGATATGCTTTGCACTACCCCAAGGACTTTCTCACTTATTTCCAGGTCATGGAATCTGAATCTGTCTACCTTTCTGGACAGTACTTAGACAATTGCATTAAAATATGCATCTCCTTTGAGCACTTAAATACATTCCTAGGTATTCATCCTAGGAAAATATTTAATGGTAGTCACAATGATTTACTACAATAAAGTTTGTAGACCTGAATTCCTAGCATCAAACCTTTAGCTTTGACCTGAATATGCAGTGAGAAGCCACAAGTGAAAAGCAACCATGAAGGGACAGAAAGAAAGAGAAAATCATTCTAGGCCATAGCAGATCTACACCCAAGCATGTATACATTCTCATAACACCAGGATTTTTCTGGATGCTTTTGCTAGATAAAGAAGGCAAACTTCATAATTCTGTTAAAACAAATTCAAACTGTACAGATTGTATGTACCATTTAGAAGTAGAAAATGAGAAAATGACTCTCAGGATATTCAATACAATTATTGATAATGAAAACAATTACAAAGCAAATTAAATGTCTTACAATAGGGAGAAAGTTAAAATTAATTATGTAACCACCACATAGAATTCTAAGAAAATAATAAGATTGTTATGGATCAAATGTTTGTGTGCCCTCCAAATTCATATGTTGAAGCCTAATCCCCAAAATGATGGTATTAGGAGGTTGGGCCTTTGGGAAGTAGATAACTAGGTCATAAGGGTAGAGCCCTCATGAGTGGGATTCCTATCCTTATAAAAAGAGGCCTGAGGGAGCATGCTTCTTCCTTCTCTGTTCTCCGTGATGATACAAAGAGAAGATGGCCATCTGCAAACCAGGAAGCAAGCCCTCACCAGACACCGAATCTGCTGGTACCTCGATCTCGGAATTCTCAACGTCCAGAATTGTGAGAAATAAATGTTTACACTACAAGTCTATAGTATAATAACTTGTTATAGCAGCCCAAACTGACTAAGACAGAGATCTATTGAGAACAGAGAGTTAATTTCTTCAGAAATTTTCCTCAGAGTTGGCGAGGATATGGGAAAAACAAGCATTCACATGCACTGTGAAAATACAAAGTACTACAACATTTTTAGAAGTCATTTTGGCAGTATCACACTTTAAAATACATGTCCTTCTGGAGACATCAGTTCCTCTGCTAGGAATTTGCCATACGGAAATACTCCAATGCCAAATATGATCATCGTAGTAGTTGTGGTAATAGTTTTTCTTTTTAAAGGAAAAAAAACTTAAATTTTCCTAAAAAGGGGACGGGATTAAGAAAAGTTTGATTGGCCGGGCACGGTGGCTCACGCCTGTAATCCTAGCACTCTGGGAGGCCGAGGCGGGCGGATTGTTTGAGCTCAGGAGTTCGAGACCAGCCTGAGCAAAAGCGAGACCCCGTCTCTACCAAAAATAGAAAGAAATTAATTGGACAGCTAAAAATATATAGAAAAAATTAGCCAGGCATGGTGGCGCATGCCTGTAGTCCCAGCTACTTGGGAGGCTGAGGCAGTAGGATTGCTCGAGTCTGAGGTTGCTGTGAGCTAGGCTGACGCCACGGCACTCACTCTAGCCAGGGCAACAAAGTGAGACTCTGTCTCAAAAAAAAAAAAAGAAAAGTTTGATCATTCATATAAAGCAATACTATGCAGTGATGAAAAAAATGATATGGAGTTACATTTACTCACATGAAAAAAATGTCCAATGTATATTGTTAAGCGAAAAAGGGCAAATAGAAAGTTAATACATGTGGTATTACGTTTTTGTAACAGCATACATATATTTATTTTTATGTATTTAAAATATGAATATACAATTGAACTCCATTCTAACATGATAAATGAAGTCCACAAAATTGATTCCTGTAAAATTTTAGGTCATGTTACTGAGAGATGAATGGAATGGCTAAGGTGAACCTATTTGGTTAACTGGCTGCACAGCCCAAATTCATCAAGTACTCAGCTGTGATTTTGGTGCCACAAACAGTTGTTCACTGAGCAGTCAGGCTTAAATATCATCTGTCCATTTGACCCTCCGCCGACCCCCACTCCCAATCATGTTATATGCAAAGTGAAGTTATTGCAGGGTCTTGCTGTATTTCTAAATCATTAGAAATGTGGATGAATGTATGTTGAACTATTATCATAGGATATATTTGAGAATGAGTATTTAATATAAAGAGAATTTTTACTTTCTAAGTGTTACATTTATACATTTAAAAGTTATCTTTAGTAGGCATGTATTAACTAATAGTCAAAAAAACAATTGAGATAAAATTTTGGAAATGTGAAAAAAATAAAATATCTGACAAGTATAAGACAGTCATATATTTATTGAAATGAAGGTTTTATAATATATTGGTATATGAAAAAAACAGTTTGCGAACAATAACCTACAGAGCAGCCCATTTTTAAAAAGATATGTATATGTATGCATGCATAGAAAATATTATGGAATATATACACCAAAATATTAGAAGTGGATATGATTGGGTGGTTGGTGGGCTTATGGATGATTTATATATTCTTTTTTACCTCTTTGCAGACTCTCTTACATTTTCTCAGGGGGTATGTGTAACTTCTACAATAAAGCAAAGTCTGCAAACAGTACGATCTTATTTTATGACGCATATTTCATTTACATGCTTCTCTATAGCTGAGCAAGGTCTGAATTAAGAGCATCTACTACCCGTTTGAGGCTTGGGATCTTTGCAATGATTGAATCCCTCACATTTGCTTCCCTTGTCCTCCTGACCTCCAGGAAGAGCTACATATTTATTATTAGTATGCATTAGAAATGAGGCTCTCCTCAC